CACCAAGCAGACGCAGATCTTCACCACCTACTCGGACAACCAGCCTGGGGTGCTGATCCAGGTGTACGAGGGCGAGAGGGCCATGACGCGGGACAACAACCTGCTGGGGCGCTTCGAGCTGAGCGGCATCCCACCGGCCCCCAGGGGAGTGCCCCAGATCGAGGTGACCTTCGACATCGACGCCAATGGCATCCTGAACGTCACGGCCACGGATAAGAGCACCGGCAAGGCCAACAAGATCACCATCACCAACGACAAGGGCCGCCTGAGCAAGGAGGAGATCGAGCGCATGGTGCAGGAGGCGGAGAAGTACAAAGCAGAGGACGAGGTCCAGCGCGAGAGGGTGTCTGCCAAGAACGCCCTGGAATCGTACGCCTTCAACATGAAGAGCGCTGTGGAGGATGAGGGGCTCAAGGGCAAAATCAGCGAGGCCGACAAGAAGAAGGTGCTGGACAAGTGCCAGGAGGTGATTTCCTGGCTGGATGCCAACACCCTGGCCGAGAAGGACGAGTTTGAGCACAAGAGGAAGGAGCTGGAGCAGGTGTGTAACCCCATCATCACTGGACTGTACCAGGGGGCGGGTGGGCCCGGGGCTGGTGGCTTTGGGGCTCAGGCCCCCAAGGGTGGCTCTGGCTCTGGCCCCACCATTGAGGAGGTGGATTAGGGGCCTTACCTTCGTTTTTCCCTATTCGTCTTTGAGGTGGAGGAGACCTAAGGACCTTGCCATTGCCTTAGATCTTTTCTACTGTCAGTTCTCTACTATTTCAGTTCATTCTAAAGTCGGTTGTAAGCTGATAATTTGCATGTCTTCGTTATTTCTTTGTGGTATAACCAATGTGTTCTTTAGAATTCTTGCATTTAAGTTGGTACTGTAAGGATTTCTTTCCTTTTGAATGAATCGACACTGCCACCCTCTGTCCTATTTTTTGCTTTGTAAACATACCAAAAGTCATGGAATGTTTTTTTCTGTAATTTGTGTACTTAAGGATGAAAAATAAAATGTTAAAAATGTGTGTCTAATAAAGAAAAAATGTGAGTCTATATTTGGGGAGGGAAAATGGACTCTTCTTGGAATGTCTGAATTCCATAGACTGTGAAAGGGACAGTACTTCTTTTTTGCTTTTTTTTTTTTTTTTTGGTGAGGAAGACTGGCTGTGAGCTAACATCCATTGCCAATCCTCCTCTTTTTTGCTGGGGAAGATTACCTCTGAGCTAACATCTGTGCCCATCTTCCTCCATTTTATGTGGGACACCTGCCACAACATGGCTTGATAAGCCGTGTGTAGGTCCATGCCTGGGGTCCGAACCTGCGAACCCGGGGCCGCTGAAGTGGGGAGTGTGAACTTAACCACTATGCCACCAGGCTGGCCCCCAGGGACAGTACTTCTGAAGAGAGGCACACATGGCTGTTTTTGTTGGGACTTAACTGTAGGTGGTAAATGACATCCGTGTTAGAAAACGAAAGTTCTTCGTCTCCATTTTGATTGGGGTGGGGCTTGTTTTAGGGAAAAGTAAGGAAGGGAGTTGCAGAAGAGTTTTAGGGGGGAGAGGTTAGTGTGGGTTTAAAGGCAGTGGTGAGAGGGGTTCATGGTTCCTTAACGTCCTGCACTTAATGTGTGCAGAGCCCTGAGCTTCGTTTCTCACTTCTGACCTGTGAATCTTTTATTTAGGTTATAAATAAGTTTCGGGGTGGACAGAACAGCAAAAATGAGATGCAGATTCAAACTCTGGCTCTAAATTCCAGCTAGGTAACCAAGTGCAAATTTAGTCTCTCTCAGTTTTGGTTGCCTCCTTTTAAAATAAAGCATATTGTCTGAATGGCGTTACTTCCCAAGTTCTAAGAGATCATTTTGAGCGGAGATGTGATGTAGACAAGCAACATCTTCAGCTGTGGTCGCCCTTGCTGCAGTTATCCAAGTGAGAGTCTGCGGAAGTGAGCTACTGAAAGTGTGGGGGCATGGCAATAAAAGAGGAATGGGCCAGGTCCTCTGTTTCACCCCAAAAATCCTCATCCCACCACCCTCTACATCAGGTATTCTAAAGCTTTTTCCATAGGTTAGCATGTCAGGTGGTCACTTCAACTACATCCAGGGCAAAATTAGCAACAAGTGATGGTTTGGAAGCCAGGGTTTTTTCCACACTGCCTGACACTGTTGGCACTGGGTTGTTCCTGTCTGGGTCAAAGTGATGGTTTTGCTCCAGTTTTAAGGATCAGTACTCTCTTTGTCCTTTTTATGGACAGTCTCAAAACAATAGCAATTTAAAGTAATAAATGTAATCATGAAGTGAGAAAAGGAGATAAAAGGTGCACACAGCATAGAGCTGGGAAGATAGGAAAATGGGGCTTTCCTCCCACACAAGCCCTTGCCTAGGGGCTTCTTCCTGCCAGAGCAGTTAGATGTCCTTAATACTTTCTCTAGCCTGATGGAATCGCAACCTCCTTCCTCCCCAACACTGAGCCTGGAAGTATCTACTCCAACATCAAATTAAAGTTGTAATAACTTTTAATAAATTCTTACTCTCCAAGAAAATCAAACATGGGAAGCCCTCCTTGGAAGCTTATAAATGAAAAGGAGTATAGTCAGAGTTCCTTTGATTCTTGGGCCAATTCTCAAAGGCCTGTATTACTCACAAGATAGGTGAACTATAATACTATAGCCTCTGACCATAGCATCCATAGCATATAGTAAATGCTGTTTAATTGCTGCAGCAGCAGGAATTGGGAGCTTTCTTACCTTTTTTTTTTAACCTCCCAGGCAGTAGAGGGAATAAATTCTTTAGCTTCAAGCCATTTGAGCCATGGTTCTCCAACTTAGTGGTACATTCAAGTTATTTGGGTAGACTAAAAAAATACTGATGGCAGGCCTCTCCCAGGCCAATTCAGAATCTCTGGGAGTGGGCTAAGGCATTGTATAGAATTAAAGCTGCCTAGGTGTTTCTTTCTTTTTTTTTTTTTTTATAATTTTATTTATTTTTTCCCCCAAAGCCCTAGTAGATAGTTGTATGTCATAGCTGCACTTTCTTCTAGTTGCTGTATGTGGGACGCGGCCTCAGCATGGACAGAGAAGCAGTGCATCTGTGCGCGCCTGGGATCCGAACCTGGGCCGCCAGCAGCGGAGCGCGCGCACTTAACCGCTAAGCCACGGGGCCAGCCCTGCCTAGGTGTTTCTAATGTGCAGCCAAAGTTGAGAAAAACCACTGCACCAGAGGCTACTCTTGATCATATTTTTAGAGAGATGGGGGCAAGGGAAAGGAGGATAGGAAGGTGTCAGTGCTTCCAGGAATAGCAGCTGGTGGTAAGGGTCTTTCTGCTGTGAATGGGAGCCTGAAGGTTTGAAAGGCCTTAAAGTGTTGATTCACTGGCAGCAGCAGCAATGATAGAGGTTAAGGAAATCTCCAGCAACAGCTTAGTAGGCCCAAAAAGAGACTTTCTGAGGCTGAGCCAATTAAGTTCATGACTCCCTCATTAGGGAAGTGGTTCATTAGGAAGCGACATCAGGATATGGGAAGTTATTGCCTACCTCTACACACACACATCTTGGAACTTAAAGTAAAATCACTTTGCAACATCAGCCACAAGTGGAACTCAGCCCCTCGGAGCCAAAAAATGTATTAAATAAGTGACTACTACAAGATTCTTGGAAGAGGTTTTTTGATAGGAGTCTGAAACCTAGGGGAAAGGGAGGGCAGATGGAAAGATAATTGCAGAAGAAAGTAAAAGGATGTATTTCTTGCACCCACAATGGCCTTCCTCCAAATTTTACTCTATGCCTAAATTATGTGACTCAAAAAGGAGACTGATTTTGTGTGATTTGGAACCCCTAAATCAACCTTTTATATGTGGCTTTCTCACAAAAGATGAAAAAGATGCCAACATTCATTACCAAACACTATCCGCATTTATAAATGAGGGTGTACAGAAGAGTCCAGGTAGGTGGGATTTGGGATAATATACGAGTTGAGGGATTAAGGGCCAAAGCAAATGACTAAGATTTCTGAGGGAGCAAGCACTGGTGAAGGGAGATTAGGGCCTGTCTGTTGCCACCCCACCCCCGTTGGTTTACTTTCAACGATCCGTGACATGTGCTGCTATTCGTGCTGCTATTCGGAGCGTAGTGAATACTTCCAGCGTTTCTGGCCAACTCCGAGGCCATGCACTGCCTATAAAAAGGACATGAATAGGAGGGGAAATGGGGAGCAGTTGTTTACTGGGTATAGGGTTTCAGGTTAGCAAGATGAAACCAGAGAGGAGTTGCACAACATTGTGAATATACTTAACACGATTGAACTGTACACTTAAAAAAAGGTTAGAATGGTTTTTAAAGACTTATCAAATTGTATATATTAAATATGTCCAGTTTATTGTATATCAATTATACCTTTAAAAAGCTGTTTAAAAAAAAAGATATGAAGCTTAATGTGCCTGACAGGTCTGCAGGCTCGAGTGGGGCTGGGAATTCGGATTTCGCTGGCTACACGGAGCGAGGCCAGAGTCCCTCGGAGTGACCCGAACCCCAAGCTGCGACAGGTGATGACGAGGAAGGAATCGCTAGGTCATTCACGCACCCACGCCGGCCTGGACGCACGACAGGCGACTGAAGAAAAGCGCCCAGTTGCGCACGCGCCTGGCGGCGCCGGGGGTGGGGGGTGGGGGGGTCTTTCTCCGGCCTGGCCAATCAGGTTACCTGTTTTTGTTTTTCAAAATTCACAAAACATCTCCGAATATTTGCCCAGAAGAGTGTGAAACATTCACTCATGGCCTCCCTTTCACTTTGTTTTATCCTCGTTTGGACCAGCGATGGGGAAAATGCCGCGGATCGAGTCAGGCATCTAAGAAGACAGCCATGCCCGTCAGGTCCCCTACCCCACGCTGCCATAAATAGCCCTGGCTCAGGCATCGTAGATCTCTTTGTGTGATGAGCTTGGTGGTGGTTGCTGTACGGCTTTTGCAATGCGGCTGGCGGCTGCTGGGAAGCCTTCACCTAAGTGAGGCGAAGGCAGCGGGCGCTGGCGCCCTGCGCCATCCTTGCGTAGCTGCCCGCGTGCAGGTACTTCGGGGTCCAGATGGGTAAGGGGATCGCAGTCTCGGGCTGAGTAGGATGAACTACGGTTACAGACTAGAGTTTCTGATGTCTCTGTGACGCCACTGCTTGAAACTGACCCAGCCCTGGGCGGGGGGGAGCTTGGCTGGAGTCGCCCCGGCCTCTGCTGATTCATTGGTTTCTCCCCAGGCCCCTGATCCTTGCCAGGCGGGTCCGCAGCTCCACGAGGGTAAGTGGATTGTGCGAGATGGAGTGGCTGGCGGTCGCCCGGGGGGAGGACGGGGGTGATGATGACCCCAGGTGACTCTGAGTGTCTCGTTGACGCCATCACCGCAGCGCGCTGACCACCCCTCTTCCCCTGCGCTGGGATCCCTAGTATCTGGTGCTTGGGGAGAAGTTGATGGCCAGGAACCCTTATTACTCATTTATTCTTTTGTTTCATTTCTTGTGTAGTGGGTTAAGACATCCATGAAGTGTTATCGTTGAATAAAGGTGAGTATTAGGAGTGAGAGCGCTCTTCAGTGCCTCTCACAGACCATCATCTTGTTTCCAAGCTCTTTCTTAAATGGGGGTACTGTGGAGTCGGCCTGCTTTCTAATGAACACGTACAACGATGCGCATATTTCACCTGATTTTCCAAGAAACAGTTTTTTTTTTTTTTTTAAATTTTTTTTTTTTTTTTTTTTTCCGCAAAGCCCCAGTAGATAGTTGTATGTCATAGCTGCACATTCTTCTAGTTGCTGTATGTGGGACACGGCCTCAGCATGGCCAGAGAAGTGGTGCGTCGGTGCACGCCCGGGGATCTGAACCCGGCCCGCCAGCAGGAGAGCGCACACACTTAACTGCTAAGCCACGGGGCCGGCCCAAGAAACAGTTTTTGATTTACATTTCTCTTGTGACCGTTACTTTTCAAAAAATATTTGGTAATGCCACCTGTTTTTGTCTCAGCCTGGTTAAACCTGCTTCCTCCATCCTGTTTCCTACTGTAAACTTCCCTAGATTCTGGGCTTCCCAGTGGAGCTGTTGTCTGCAGTTGTAAATTTATTTCCTACTTCTTTCCTCCCCCAAACTTCCCATCCCTGAACTTGTCTTTTGCTAAATCCTTACTTATATGGGGACCATTGTCTTTGAATGCACTAGATCTCTTATCAGAATGGCTTCCCTTGATCCAGGTCTCCCTAAATTGGGAATGATGATTTCTCAGACTAGAGTCTCTGACGCTGGTCCTGATGGCAAAATTTAAGTTCTGACTCATTTGGGGAACTGGATACTTGGGTCATTGAGAAGGGCAGATGGGAGGGCAGTAACTCTCTGCTTGTCCTTCTCATTGGTTGTCCTGTTTTCTCCTTCTAGCATGAGAGCTCTGGAGGCCCAGCCAGGGCCAATGCCCCTTCACAGAGATTCTGCACTAACCTGGTCACTGGGCTAAGATTTGGAATTGACTCTCTTGGAGAAGTGCTGTCAAGATGGCGGGGATGCCTAGGTAATGGTTCCTGCCACTTCATCTACAAGCCGTGACAAGAAGTAAAGAGCCATGCTCCTTCTCCCTGGCTGCTATGGTGAGCCTCTGCCTGTTTTGCTTCTAGCCCCCGAGTGGTAATGATGACCTGGTTGGACTAGAGTCTCTGAGCATTTCTCTGAGGATCTTTGAAACCACCTGAGGCACTCTTACGCTTCCCCTCCTCCACCCCGTGTGGCAGCTCACCTGCCCGCCCAGGTTCATATTTTAATTCCAGATGCCTACATGATTCTAATACATGTTCCTTTCATGAAATTTCAGGATTTTGCTGCCACAAAGGATGTCCTCTCTCTGATGTTGGGCAGATGCTAGGAGCTTACATCTTTCCTGCAGTAACTTGATGAACATGAGCAACTGTCAACTTATTGAGGAAGAAAACTGCCTAGAAATTTCGGGGCACTTACATATCAATTAGGTTTTACTTCTTTATTTTGTCTTAAACAAGTACTTTGTTTTATCAAAAGGATTCCAGTAAAATACTTTCAAGCAAATAAAAAATAAATTGTTTGGTCTGTGTGAAAACAAGATGGTAGAAAAAGATTTAGGAAAGTGAAAGGTAACCACCAGTGAATGAGCATCGTCATAATGGACATCTAGCTCTAGCTCTTTATAGCTATGTACAAACAGTGGAAGCTAGATTGTACACACTTGGACACTAATGTTGAGGATTTCTAGATTGACTACCATAATATTCTAATGTAGAAAATGTAATTAACAAGCATTTGAAGTTTTTATGATGTTAATATTAACACAGGCACCTAATTTCCCTTTTGATGAATTGGTGAAGACGTAGCTTCTCCAGATTTTTTTGTGTGTGAGAAAGAGCAGCCCTGGGCTAACATGCATGCCAATCTTTCTCTTTTTGCTGAGGAAGACTGGCCTGGGCTAACATCTGTACCCATCTTCCTCCACTTTATATGGGACACCGCCACAGCATAGCCTGACAAGCGGTGCATCAGTGCATGCCCTGGATCTGAACCCGGGCCACCAGCAGTGGAACCCGTGCACTTAACTGCTATGCCATGGCCCCGGCCCCTGTCCAGATATATTTTAAAAGAATATGTTCCTAGTGGTTGCCAGGGGCTGGGGGAGGGAGGAATGGGGAGTTTAATGTTTAATGGGTATACAGTTTGTTTTACAAGATGAAAAGAATTATGAAGATAAATAGTGGTGGTGGTTGCACAATATTATGAATGAATGTGTTTAATACTACTGAACTGTATGTACACTTTAAAATGGTAAAATTTATTATGTGTATTTTACCACAATAAAATTTGGAGGAAAAAGCATATCCATGTTGCCTTTTGTCACCATTCCGAAGATGGTTCCCCACCAGCGGGTTCAGATTTATGTTACTCTAAGACTGTACTATAAATTAGCCAGTTTCTGGTAGGGGGCATTTAGGTTTCTAGTCTTGCTATGTACTGGTCCTTGTTCCCTGTTATTTGCACCCATTACGTTGTGTTGTAGAATACGTTTCCAGAATAGAATTTCAGTCAAAGGATTTGGGCATTTAAAAGTTAATGCATAGTGTATTCATAAGGTTGGACCAGTTTACACCCAACATCAGGGTCATCTTGAGATTGCCTGGTTTCCTTCTACCTGCCATCCCACTCCAGGTGGTAACACTTTTAGTACCAGTTTGTGTATTTATTCAGTCATCTTTTTAAAATTGCATTTCTTCTGCCTCTATTTGCCTACTGAACATGTCTAGCTTGGTCCCCAGACCCCACTCCAACTCATCAGCCAAGATTTTTTCCAACCTTTATTTTCTTTTAATCGCCTTTGCTAGGTTTTTTTCTCTCCTTGAAATTACCCTGTTCAGTACTCCCTAGAGGACAGGGTCACCTGCTCCCATTGCTATTCTCTGATCAAGGATTCTCTGAGCTTCAGTCCTTGGCCCAAAACTTTAGGATTAGCCTTGTTTGAAAAGTACTTGTTCTTTAAAATATGGCGGATTAAAATAGGTAATACTTTTTATTAAAATTCTTGAAATCCTTCACTTGGCTCCCTATTCTTAGGACAAGAACCAAAGTAGTCTGTTACCAGTTAAGGTTACTTTTGCAGAGGGGATCAGGACTGGGGTGGGGTGGGGGTAGGAGGAGACTTGGACTTTTTACTCCATGAATTTTTGGATTGTTACCACTGAGAATGTACTGCTTTGTGATAGTCCCAAGCACATAATTCTGTTTGGTTCTCGGTTATCATTCTGTAGCATTATCTTAGCAGCCACCACGTATGTATTTAGTGCTTAGGTCTGTGCTAGGCTTCTTACCTGCTTCACTTCATTGAATCCTTAAAAGTCAACCTTGCAAAAGTAGATATTCTCTACCCTGCTTTACAGGCAAGGAAAGAAAAGTTCAGGCAGGGATGTTAAATAATTTGCTCAAGGTCACAGATAGGAGGTACCAGAGTCAGGATTCAAATTCCTTTCTGTCTTCAGTGTACCCATCACCCAGCTTTAGAACGTTGCCAATAACTAAAGCAAACCTGCCTTTGATGCCATTTCCTTTTTTCTCCCTCCCACTCAGAAAACTACCCTGCTGAATTGTGGCTCTATCATTTCCTGACCTTATATACTCTGCATGCATCCCTAAACAATATATTGTTTGGTTTTGTATCTTCTTGAACTTTATAAAAATGGACTAATTCTTCTTGTAGTTGTATTGCAACTTGGTTTTTTTTTTTGTTCATGTATTTTCCTGTAGTTATTTTAGATTCTGCTCTTCTGCACACATTTCTATTTTTTTTGTGTGTGTGTGAGGAAGATCAGCCCTGAGCTAACAACCATGCCAATCCTCCTCTTTTTGCTGAGGAAGACTGGCCCTGGGCTAACATCTGTGCCCATCTTCCTCTACTTTATATGGGACGCCACCACAGCATGGCCTGACAGGCGGTGCCTCAGTGCGTGCCCTGGGTTCGAACCCAGGCCGGCAGCAGCGGAGCGCATGCCCTTAACTGCTACGCCACGGGGCCGGCCCCTGTAATAGTTTTTAAACATTACACACTGTAGGAGGATTGGCATGGTTGTTAGCTCAGGGCTGATCTTCCTCACAAAAATAAATAAATAAAAACTTTTACAGCTAAACAATATATTGTTTAGAGTTAAATATAATATAGTAAAAGCAGAAAAAAATGCATAGGACTGCTAAAAGCTAAATTCAAGAGAGTAGTTACCTGGACTGTGACAAGGGGGTGGCTAAAGAGAATGATGCAGTCAAGGAGGTGTACATGGGGGCTCCAGGGAGCTCACTGTATAATCTTTCATATTTTTGTATGTCTGAACTATTTTTTTTTTTTAAAGATTTTATTTATTTTTTGCCCCCAAAGCCCCAGTAGATAGTTGTATGTCACAGCTGCACACCCTTCCAGTTGCTGTATGTGGGACTCGGCCTCAGGCTGCACAGAGAAGTGGTGCCTCGATGCGCACCCGGGACCCGAACCCGGGCCGCCAGCATCGCAGCGCACGCACTTAACCACCAAGCCACAGGGCTGGCCCGTGAACTATTTCTTAATAATTTAAAAACATGGTTTGGAATCTGAATCCTAAAGGGTTGAGCAAAGGCAAAAGCTAAGTCACTCCACAGGGACACCTCCAGACTCCGGAGCTCACACATGGAGCTCCCTTGGAAGACAACTGTTCCCAAGATGAGCTAGAATCAAAAACACAGGCCACCTACCCCCACAGGAACGAGTAAAGAGGCGTAGTAACACATAACTTTACAGCTAAGAAACTCAGATAACAGCATGCTTAGAGGCTGAAGATATTCTAAAGAGATAAAGAAAAGAATTTAATCCATTGTGCAGGAACAGGACATTATAAAGAAAGAGTAGGTGGATTTGAAAAAGAAACAAACGAAACAAGTAGAAATTGTAGAATTGAAATAAATGAATACATAAGAAGCACAATAAACAGGTTAAATAACAGACCTGCTGAACAGAGAATTAGTGTACTGGAAGAAGAAATCATCCTTAATGTGGAGCAGAGAAAACAGAGATGAATAATACGAAAAGGAAGTTAATGTGAAGGATGGAATGAGATGCCCCAACCTTTGGCACTGTTTGTTTAGAGCTGCCATCACCACACTGGTTCATTATAATGTTGTAGCCAGAACAGCTGCAGGTGCCATCTTAACTCTGCCCAGTCGCATATGGGGGCATCTGGCTTTGAGCAGCTCAGGGCCATCTGTTAGTTGTTTACTGTGGTACTTTCTTGTCCATTAACATCCTACTTTTACATGGTTGTCTTTTGATTATTGTGTTATTTCCCAAAGAATAAGGAAATGGATTATCCTAAGGGTTAATGTATCCGCCGACTCTTAAAATGTTAAATTTTATTGCCCCCAGTCAGGTGAACCTTCAGGTGGAAGTGGGTCACATTGTAGGCTGGCCATAGCTGTCATTAAACCATTAAATTCTAAAGAATGTAGTGAAGATAAGACAAGGCTGCCTACTTTTGCCACTCTTATTTAACATAGTATTGGAAGTCCTAGCCAGAGGAATCAGTCAAAAAAAGAAAGGGATCCAAATTGGAAAAGAAGAAGTGAAGCTGTCACTATTTGCAGATCACATGATTTTATATATAGAAAACACTAAAGAATCCACAGGAAAAAAAAAAAACTATTAGACATAATACATGAATACAGTAAAGTTGCAGGGTACAAAGTCAATGTACAAAAATCAGTTGTGTTTCTATACACTGACAACGAAATAGCAGAAAGAGAAATCAAGAATACAATCACATGTATAATCGCAACAAAAAGAATAAAATACCTAGGAATAAATTTAACCAAGGATCTGAAAGACCTGTACACTAAAAACTAGAAAACGTTGAAAGAAATCAAGGAAGACACAAAGAAATGGAAAGACATTCTGTGCTCATGGATTGGAAGAATTAACATAGTTAAAATATCTATGCTTCCTAAAGCAATCTATAGATTCAGTGCAATCCCTATCAAAGTCCCAATTATATTTTTCATGGAAATAGAACAAAGAATCCTAAAATTTATATGGAACAACAAAAGACCCTGAATAGCCAAAGCAATCCTGAGAAAAAGGAACAAAGCTGGAAGTATCACACTCCCTGATTTCAAAATACACTACAAAGCTATAATAATCAAAATAGCATGGTACTGAAACAAAAACAGATACACAGATCAATGGAACAGAATTGAGAGCCCAGAAATAAACCCACACATCTATGGACAGCTAATTTTTGACAAAGGAGCCAAGAACATACAGTGGAGAAAGGAAAGCCTTCAATAAATGGTATTGGGACAGCCATATGCAAAAGAATGAAAGTAGACCATTATTTTACAGCATACACAAAAATTAACTCAAAATGGATTAAAGACTTGAGTGTAAGACCTGAAAACATAAACCTAGAAAAAAACTTAGACAGTGTGCTCTTTCATATTGGTCTTAGCAGTATATGTTTTTGAATATTGTGTCTCCTCAGGCAAGGGACACAAAAGAAAAAATAAACAAATGG